AAAATGGAATCAGTTTAAATGTATGTAGATATATATATATATATATATATATATATATAACCAATAAAAAACTAAATTTATATAAAATTAAACCATGCTAGAAATATAAAATTTGAATTAAAAAATAAAAAGAAAAAAATGCCATTACAAATGTTTTGTAAGTTATATCAATAGTGATGATGATATTATACTGTAAAGTAGTTTTTTTGATAGTACACATGATTTACAAGTAAAAACTTACTATATCATCTAATTTCAGATTTAAGATGACTTTTCAAGTACAAACATAATCTTGAAAGCACTCTCCCTTGGAATACAATTGCCATAAGAGCCCAATGATTTAGTTATATTTGTATTACTATAAAAAAATACTAAAGGGTATATATATATATATAGATATATGTAATGAATCTGCAATAAATTAAATATACTTTGTTACTTGCAAAAATGTAACAATATTATATATATATATATATATATATATATATATATTATTGTTGTTATATATAATGTGTGTTCAATCTTGATCGACCGTGTTAATAAATGTTATAAGGGAATTTCAAATATCTTATAGATATCAAAGATCTTAAACTTATTCATAAACATGAGTATGTATAAACCTTTTTTAAAAAATAATTGTTCATTGTAAATATATTAAATGATTCTTACTTGCCAAAGATTTTTGTCAGGAAAAATTATATAATAACCATCCTATCTTTCATCAAAGCAAAAATATCTTTCTTACTAAAAAAAATATTTTAAGGAGTTGGGTATTTCTTATTGGATACTATTAGATTGAACTAAAACTATCAAAGATGCATAAAAAGTAAATACCCTGACTTTATTATCAATCATACAAATAAGAATAAAATGAAAATTTATGAGATATAAGATACTCATCTAAAGAGAGAACGTGCACATCAACATGTTCACAAAATCAATGGAAAATTGTTAAATATAATGGTGGATGATTAAGCTCTTAATCTTACACTAAAAATAGTGATATAAATCCTTAAGTTGTGCTTTCTCTATTGGATTAATTTATAAGCAAATTCATTGTAAAGAATTTAAGTCTATGATTTCAAATCTATTTTTTCTTGGAGAAAAAAAAAACAAACAATTGTGTTGAAAGGCATGTATTGTGTATTGTTGAAACTTACATTTTTAAAATGTACAATATATAAATTTCTTTTAGCTCATGTTTAAAACAAAATTTTATAAGATAAAATGAGTTGTTTGTTTGAAAAAAAACACATTGGTGAAAAAGGAAACAAATTTTAACACCTTAAAATGGAGTATTAGAGCTGGTTGACTACATTTATATATACGTTTTTACTTTTTGATTTTTTTATACGTTTAATATTATGGTTTAAGAATGATTAGACAACATGTTATGCAATGGATCTTTATGTTGAATCTAATTTGGAAGCAAAAATAAATGAAGCTTTGATCTTGAATGATAACAATATTCATGATTTTACCATGGTACTTCATGATAAAATTCTAACACAAAATCCATTTGGTAGTTAATGATGTTGTTTGAATTTTTTCAAAATGAACTTATGATAACACAAACATGTTCTGTTCTGTAGTCACGTTTTAAATTGTTTTTGAGACAATATGATATTGTTTTTCAGAATCATTTTTTAAGATCATCAACACAAACTGGAATCCACCTGAAAAGAGCTTTAGAGTAGAAGATCAACTTGAGGTGGAAACAAATATGCATATTAATTTAACTTATTTAATGTTATAAAAAATTTAAAAAATAAGACTCCAAAAGTTAAGAAGTATATCTAATATTGTTGTTTTGGATTTCAATTTCTTTTTATCATATTTATTAAATTTAATTAAAAATCTGCCTCGACCTACTATAGATCTTTTTTCTTTGGAGACTGAGTCTGCAATTGAATCTTGGAATTTCAAAGCGGCACATTTAAAGGAGTTAAAACATTTTAAGATCATTTTTCCAGAAATAGTTCTATTATTCTGTAATTGAATAAAAAAATAAAATATCATGCATGTTTGTAAAAACATCTTTGTGGTGTTGTTACCAAATTTCAGTAACTTTGATAAAGTTCAAAGTTTGAATATTTCATAGAAAAGCTCAATCAATTGTTATATGTATATATATATATATATATATATGTGTGTGTGTGTGTGTGTGTGCTTACATTCTTACTTTTATAACAAATATGATTAAGTAAATTAAAAAGAGAAAGATTTATACATAAAGACATAACAATACAAAAAGGATGTTAAATCTCATAATATCAAAATTCTAAATACATAAATATCTGTTTTTTTTAAACATATAAAAAAAGAAGAAAAAAAAAACTTAAAAAAAATTAAAAATTATAAAAAGAAATTGGTGGCTTTCTTGTTACATGTGATGAGAACAGTTGAAATTAAAAATCTCTATGCAAAAGATTTGTTTTTTTGTTTTTGTTTTTGTTTTGTTTTTTGTTTTTTGTTTTTTTTTCAAGTTAGCAATTTAATTCATAAAAGATACAACATGCCATTCAGTGGATTAAGTTTTTAACTATTACTTAAACACAATATGAATCAAACTTACAAAGTTATAACCAACGTTGGTCTTAAAAAAAAAAAAAAAAAAAAAAAAAAGAGAGTAACGATGGTTATTTTGGGACTGCTTTGTGATGATTTGAATTTGTATTTGAATTATTTATTTGTCTTTGAATTTGACCTACTTAAATTTTTCAAAGATTCATACGATTTCAATCTATTTAATTACCCTTGATTGAATTGAGATGTAATGTATAAATAAATAAATAAATAAAACAACAACAACAACAACATTCTTTGATTGAAATTGGTGCAAGACTAATTCTGAAGCAAGCTAAGAACATGATTGAGAAAAAACTGCTTTTCTATTTGAAATGTATTAAAGGAAAAAAAAAAAAAAAAAAAAAAAAAAACGTTAAAAATTGCTGCAAAATTAGATGGAGTAATACATTTCCTTGATATTGTTTTCTTTCATTGGGGTAATTTAAGTATTACAATTATGTTTGTGTTGCTAGTGTTAGTGGTGCTATTATCAATGAAAGAACCATAAAAATACATAGTCAAAGACTGTTAAACATATATGTATATATATATATATATATATATAAACATATTGGTTCTTTCTGAAGTTGTTAAACAAATATGCTTTGATCTGTTGTGGTTGATTTTTATTATTAATAATAAAAAAAATTATAAATCAATTTTGTCACAGAAGATTATTTGATATAATCCATAGGAGAAGATTAATATCTCAGAAGAGAAAGCTTAGAGACTTACAATGATCAGATGAGTGAATTCTATTCATGGTGCAGAATATGAGGAGCTGCCGGGCATTTTGAAATTTGATGTTAATAAGTGCAATAGGGAGTTCAAACATGACACTTTTGCAAAACCAAATAACTCAAATTCACCACCTGATACTTCTAGAATCACTTGAAATATCAAATCCAAAATATCGCAGTTCAAACTTTATTACTTCCTAATATTAGCCCCTAATTCAAACTGTATAATCCCTATGGTATGGAGTCAAATAGGGAAGAGAGCTGAGGCGAGCGACACACTTATTGATATTTGACTTGCAAAGTCACCCACCTCGCAAGGAAGATGATTTGGTGAAGGATCAAGTGATATTTTGAAATATCATGGAATACTTTGAGATCTCATTACGGATGAATTTGAATTTGAAATTGACAACAACAGTAATTTCACACTACATAATTATCCTATTTGATATCAATGTATATATTTTTATATATATGTATATATATAGACACACACATACAAACATATATGTACTAATTGAAGGGAGAATTCTGAAGTATCCTTGCAAGAACATTGTGTGGATTACTTTTTTTTTGTTCTATAAATTTATGGAGTTATTTAAGAGCAATGAGTGAAATAAAATTGGGAAAAAATAATAAAAAATAAAATAGCTAGATATTGAAAAAGAAAAGAAAAAACTTATAGAAATGATACTAAATAATGTATTTTTTATAAATATCTATTTAAAACTTATTTGAACTTTTAACAACAAGAAAAATGAAACATACTTTAACTTGGTTGATAACATGAACAAGAATTTTTTAAAGGATTGTAATTATTGATGATGTTTGTCTTTTTGTAAAACTTACATTCTATTTGTAGGATTTATATATATATATATATATATATATATATATATATATAATTAACGAGCATATTTTTTCCAATGGTAAGGTTACTGCAAAAGGAAAAAAAGAGTGAATTAGAATGTACAGAGATTACAAAAAGTGAATGTATTTGTTAGTAGTCTATTTAAAGGTTTAATCTAAATTTGGTAGTAATTTCACTTCAACTTTAATTTTTAATATGAAAAATTACAAAGGTGGAAAATTTAAGTGTTTCTTAAATAGGTGATAATAATATAAAATATAGTAAGAAATCAAAGAAAACACTAAAAGAAGAAGAAGCATAGAACATGTTCTTTTTAAAATGATATTGGCCTTGTATTTTGATTTTGCTTCATTTAATATTATTAGTATCATCATCATCATCATATATCTTTTTTCTCGTGCAAAAATTTATATTTCTCCATCTTAATTTCAAGGCCATGTAGACGACTTCTTTGAAAAACATAGAAAAGTTTAGTAACACAAACTTAATTTTTTAAAAAAGAAAACAAGCAAAAAAAAGAAAAGAATCTTGTAATTTTGAAATTGCAAGTCCATTAGTCATCGTATTATAAATAAAAAAAATGCAACAGTATTAATTTTTCGATTCTATTAATTAATTACATGAACCTAGAACTTCCACAGAGTTCTCTTATTTAGCATCAGCTTAATTGGTATGACTAGTAGTGTTATCAACCCATTCACTTGACGATTTTCCCGCCACAGAACGCGCGGGTCCGGAGGTCCAGGTGGGCAATTTCCCGCCCCCGCGGATCTCACGTCCGTCTCCCGCTCCCGCGCTTTTTTGTTTTGTTTTGTTTTGTTTTCTCTTCGTGTTTCTGGTTCTGGAAGGGGCGATATGTTGCTCCTTTTGCACCTTCAGTCAATCGAACCCTTCGAGTCTCCTCCTCTTCCTCGTCTCGTTCCTTCGCACCGATGCATTTCCTCTTAGGAGTACCGACTTCGTTTGCCTACAGTGACGAGATTTTGTTTCCTTTCTTTTTGACTTTTAGGGCTTGTGAGCGTATGAAACACCCACAATCCTCCTCATCAATTGATGGTTTGCAACTCTCGGTGGCTCTGGGTTCATCGCATTGTTGAGTTTATGTGGCGCGGCTTTCTGGGTCCTATTTTCTAGAGCTTTTTGGGCGAATTAGGGTGATTTTGTTTTTTTTTGTGGGGTGGGGTTGTTCAGTCTTTGTGCTTGCAGGATTTCTGTTGCTAATCATGGAAATACGAGAGGGGTTGGTGTATTTCTTTCTCAAGGTTGGGGTCGGAAGATGACGTTGTAAACGGTTGATTATTGTTGTTGTTGCTGTCTTGTTGGGAGTTGGGGTGTTAGCTATTTGCGTTTTTGGGGGGTTTAGGGTTTAGGGTTTCGGGTTTCTGTTACTCATGTTTCCCGTGTCCCAGAATATTGTTCGTCAAAGTGAAGTCGGGAGCAGTGTAAGGAAGTAGAATTGGTCCAAGTGTGATGTACTGTTCATTCGATTAGCTCATGGTCTTGTTGCTCTACCGTGATTTCATGGTTATCGTGTTAGAACTCTTCAAGCTCTGTACATGTATGCGGAAAGATCGTCTCTGTGGAAGAATTCAGCTGAGTGATCCGGCGCAGAGTGGAGGGCCTCCGAAGGGCTAGCCTCGAATATGGGCGACGAGGTTAAGAATTATGAGCCTTACAAACACAAGCTTACACTGACAGGACACATCAAACCCGTATCCAGTGTCAAGTTTTCTCCTGACGGAAAGTGGGTGGGGAGTTCTTCGGCTGACAGGACTGTTCGTATTTGGAATGCGACGGATGGAAAATGCGAGCGTTCTCTCGAAGGGCACAGCAAAGGCATATCTGATCTTGCTTGGAGTTCTGATTCGCACTATGTATGTACTGCCTCAGATGACAAAACCCTAAAACTCTGGGACGTGCATACCGGAGAATATGTGAAAACGCTTAAGGGTCACACAAATTATGTATTCTGTGTGAACTTCAATCCTCAAAGCAACGTGATTGCTTCAGGATCATTTGACGAGACTGTGCGCTTATGGGATGTGAAAACTGGAAAATGCTTGAGAACCTTGCCCGCGCACTCAGATCCCGTTACGGCGGTTCACTTCAACAGGGACGGTTCTTTGATTGTATCTAGCAGCTACGATGGCTTGTGCAGAATTTGGGACAGTGCTACCGGGCATTGTTTGAAGACTCTCATTGACGACGAAAATCCACCCGTCTCATTCGTGAAATTTTCACCCAATGGAAAGTTCATTCTGGCTGGCACACTCGACGATAATCTGGTGCGCTCTCTTGCCTTGCTTCTCCCTAGTTGCCTTTGACAAATCACAGCGCAGCTGCAGTGATATGTGGATGTTCGAGTGAAAATTCACTTCTATAAACCTTCTTCCATTCCTACTCTTGTGCTCTTTACAAAATAGACGTGGTTATAAAATAAATTTGCTCGGTCATTGCAATCCAAATAGAGGAAAGGAAATGCGGACACAAGTTCGATATATGGACTTAATTGAGTATTCCTGTCAATTGTGAGGTCTATTCCTGCACAAGTGATTAGCCGAAGAGTGGACAGAGGAGGCGCTTCTTTCGTCAATACTACCCCTCTGGCGGTTTATTCCTTTCTGTTACTTGAGATTCACATTTGTATTCGGGGATGTGCAGAGATTATGGGATTACAACACCGGCAAGTTTGTGAAAACTTACACGGGACACAAAAACAAGCAGTTCTGCATATTTGCGACATTCTCCGTTACAAACGGGAAGTATATCGTAAGTGGCTCTGAGGACAATTGTGTCTATCTCTGGGACCTCCAAACACGGAATATCACCCAGAAACTGGAAGGCCATGCAGAGGCTGTGCTTACCGTCTCCTGTCACCCAGTGGAGAACAAGATTGCGTCAGGTTCGCTAGACAGAACGGTCAGAATATGGGTGCAAGACGATAAGTGAGATGTACATTTCCTTGTATCATATTCATCTCTAGGCTAAAGCGCGTCTAGTTATCTCCATGCGAGTAAGATCAAAGATAAGTTGTACAGGAGGCAATGAGTCAACGAGGCATTGGTCTGTGGGCAATGTCCTTTGTACGATTCAACCTGCGAGATTCAATGTTAATGTGTATTCAGTTGGTGCGCTTCCCAACTTGGAATAGAAGTCTGCCTTTTTCCAAAAACTTCGTGCTCGAATGCTCCAGGTCGTATTTGCAGCTGTGTCGCAGGAACAGGCGAACAGTATTATCTGCCATTCAGTTGTAACTAGCGTTCTAACCGTCTCACCGGTTTATGTTTGTGGCGTCGGCATAATCAGGATGTAAATTGCAGATGATTATTCAATCTTCTGCCTTTCGATTAATTTTTTTGGTGAAAATGTCAGTTGACTTTCTAACCAAAGTAGATGTAGATCAAAGTCCAAAATGCATTGTGAACACTTCTTCAACGCATACCGATACCATAGGCTGATCCGTTTCTTCATAGTCTCAACTGCATAAATTTGGGTACTGATTATCTCAATGTCAAATTTCTATATTCCTAGCTATGCACTCAACATGTGTGAGAGATCTCGTTAGGTCAAGTCGAATTAGTCTTCAGTAATGATCTCTAAATGTGCAAGTATTTTTTCATGTCGTGAAATGGTGAGCACCGGAACAATTCAAGTAAAGAACCGACTCTGTATTGTTGATTAGCATCAGATGTGTGAGGCTAAATGCTCAGCTCACAATGTTCCGTGGAGCATACATCGAAACCACCTCTACATCGTGACAAGCATGATGTGCCCCTTGGAAGCTCTTTGGACCAAGCCTGTACGCACCAAGCGGAGTGGGAGTTTCTGTGGAACGTACCTCTTCAATTTATTGCCCTTCTTGCAGTTGGAAGGTCTCATTCTTTTCCCTTAATCGACAATATCTTCACCAACTCTTTTCCTGTTTCTGAGCTCTGAAGTGACATGGTCTTTTTTGGTTGTCCTAAGAGTAAAATGTGTACATAGATGCAATTTCAATTTACTGAATACTTGTGGAGCAGTATTTACGTAAAATCGTTTGTACATTCCGTTTACATCTTTTGTCTTCATCATGGTACTGCCATTGCTTCTCTAGCTCAAACATGCGCTGTGACTTGCAGTTTTGAAACTGGTTTTAAATGCAAAAAAAAATCTTTAACTGCACGAGGTGTGATCTTGTTCAAGCCCAAAATATGTGAAACTTCTGGAACATTGTAAAAGTTTCATGAACATGAATTATGTATAATCAATATGAGTTGTTAGAAATGAAGTAAGTGAAATACTAACGGATTTGGTAATGACTTGACAATTAAGACATATGGGTTGACATTGAAAGTTTAAATTATATATATATAGAGGATATTGCTAATGCCATCACAATTTTTTGAAACTTATATATATATATATATATATATATATAGGGTGTTGCTAACGTCATCATAGATTATGCTATTGCTACTATAATTTGCCATCCACCACGTCATCACAATTTTGCTATTGTTGTTGCAACTCATTGCCAAATTGACATATTTTTTTGTTTCGTTTTGTTTTTTTACATAAAAAAGTCTATTAACATTTCTACTATATATATATATATATTAAAAATACTTATAAAGTAAATTTTATTTTGATAAAAAATATTTAAAAAGTTAAAAAAATAGATTGTAATAGTACTACAAAAATGTGTGGTAGATGAAAGGTTGTGGGAATATCAAAAATTGTAGTGGCATTAACAACACCTTACATACATATGTATAGATAGAAGTTGTTGGTTTGTTATAAACTTACATATTATATAAAGGTATTGAGGTAGTTCAATCTTAAGGTTATTGAATTAAAAATAATAATTGCACTTATAAAGATATAGAAATTAATACCATATTATAATATAATTTTTTGATAAAATTTACAATCTTAAAATATGCATCTTGAAAATATCTTAAATTTTCTTCTCAATTTTTTTGAATTAGTATGTATTTTTTATATATAATTTATAACCTTTTTACAATTATTTTTTGGCAATGCATAATCCCAAATTAATTAAAATAATCTTATATTTTGGTAAATCATATTAATTTTTTAAAAAAATTAGGGAGATACTCTTTATTATTCATTCAAATATTTTATGATTTTAGTTTTTATATCACTGCTAATGAATCCAATGTAGTTTAAAGCCTAACATATTAAACATCTTATTAAGTACTCTCTATAATTCTATTAAAATTTAGAATTTAAAGTGTTATAATTTATATCATTTTTATGTTGAAATTTAAATTTAATTAGAAAGCTTTAAAATATTCAAACTAACTTAAAACCATACAAGTTTTTATGTATACATGTGGAGATTAAAGTTATATATATTTTTTCTAATACAATATTTATTGTTTAAACATAGAAACAAGATGGACAGATAATTTCTAAATTTTCTGAGAATGAATTTTTAAATACAAAAATATATATGATAGAAATAAGTTATTTACTTAAGTTTTGAAAAAAATATAATATAATATATTATTTTAAATAATAAATTAGCCAATGTATTTTGCAAGAAATATTTTAACATAATCTAATTGTTTTAAGTTATTTAAAATATATTTCTAATATAAAAATGTATATTTCTAATATATATACTCTTTCATACATACTAAATGAATAAATGGGGCACAATACTTTAAATACCCCCTCCTTGGTTATTTTGATACCTCAAAGTTGCTCATTGGTTGTTTGAGAATGGATCACATGAATGAGTAGAGGATAAGAGGATTAGTGGTAACAAAACATTTCATTGAGGTCATTGATTTGATCAAGGGATGTACTAAAATAGTCAAGAAGAGTACTAAAATATTAATTTCCAATAAATAATATCTAATTAATGATTGTCTTCAATGCTTCATTTTTTAAAAAACTGATTTTATTTAAAATTTCTTCAAAAATCATTTACTATCATTTTTTACAAAAAATAATGTATTTTGAAATAAAAGACTTAAGTATGAACACATTTGCTTAAAGTTCTATTCCACATAATTTTTTTCTATTAAAGTATTTAATTTCATTCAATATTAATTCTCTAAATTTCCTTAATAACATATTACACTTTTAATGATTCATAATTTAATACTAAAAATATATATCAAATTAAAAAATATACCAAAGGACATTTTGTAATTAATAATGTGTAATTTTTATATTTTTCAAGTATGCATTGGATTTTAACTTATTGTATTATCTAAATAAAAATAAAAATTTATTTATTTATGATAAGAGTTTTTGTTTTGCAAAGTTTGTTGTTGTTTATATGTATGCATATATGTATTTATGTAAATATTTATTAAAATGTGTATACTTTTATTTTTTTAATTATAAATTAATAAATTAAGTAAAACTGATAACAGTAAATTTGAAATTATAAATATTCTAGAATTATTTATGTTTGATAAATATAAACATCTATCAAATTTTCAAATTTTAGCTTCATAAATATTAAAAGTTAAGATACCTATGTAAACTTATTATTGAGTTGGAATATTGGTACATTTAGCATAATAACATTAACAACATTTGTGAATTTTATTTAGTTTAAAAAATTCAAATTATCTTTTATTTAATAATTATATAAATTTCTATTACATATGTATATAAATTCATTAATTCTCTTTAAATTGATATAATTCCATTCCTGTGTATTATAACACTTTACTTTTAAAAAATCAACACCATCAAAAGAGCATAGTTTATTTAACTTATTGAAACATATTTTTAAATTGCAGAAAAATTAATAAATACTATTAATCAGATGATTAAATTTTTAATTTTATTATTTTTGTAATTATTATTTCTCAACTTTCTTCTGTTGCAAATTAAAAAAATTTCAAACTAAATCAATCATTAAACTATGCTAAATTTGAATTCTAAAGCTGAAAAACGCCTATTTTATTGCATTTAGAAATTTAGAAATGTGATTTTATTTAATACGTCGAAAAGAAAAAGCATGTGTACATAAAAAATTTGAAATATTTCATCAAAAACAAAATATTCATGAAATTTATATAATTCAAAATGAGTATAGGAATGTCTTTAAAACTTGATATTATTTTCTCTTATACCCAACTTGTAAACTACCTACAACATTAAAGAGTTTTCTTCTCTCACTCATGAAATAGCTTTTTTTCTATGGATATAACTTTAAACTAACTAGAACTTCATATATATATATATATATATATGTATAGATACAGATATACGAATTTCCATTCTTATATTTTTGTTTCTTATTAGTATATAAATATGATGTGCAAGCACTTGAAATGATAAATTAATAATAATAATAATAATAATAAAAACAAAATATATGATAATGCTAAGGTGCATAAATGATATTACACATGGGTTTTGTTTATTTTTATTTCGAAGCTTGTTCTGTACTAGATGTCAGCTTTTTGATAAAGATATTGGAATCATTTTTGTTAATTATTATTAATTCCAAACCAATTGGTTGGGTTTGTTTTATTTTATTTTTTGTAAACACTATTATCAATAAATTCCTATATATAAGGCTACTTTTATTAAAATAAAGATATCAAATTTTTCGTTATTAATTTTTCTTTTAATTTTAGGAAAAGTATAATTATAATAATATCCACAATCATAACTTGATATGATTTCCTTTACAAACAACATGGCATCTAGCATATTTAGTGTCTGTTTTTATTTTAATACATGTACATATGTACGCATGTATTTGAGTTATTTTTTTATTTTTATTTATGATTTTTTAATTTGATTTTGTGCAGATTTTTTCAATCATTAGTACCTTAAATACTCGTTTTTAGAAAAACATCTTGGTAGAAGGGATTTTATAAAAATTGCAGAACCTTTGTAAAAATATTAGACCATATTAATTATTTTCGAAATATTGTTACAATTTTTCTATATTTGAGGACAATTCTAAAACTTTGCGATAAAATAAATTTAATCATAAAAACAAAATTTGAGATTAGCTATTCTTTTTCCCATACAAATACAACCTCTTTTATAACAAAGAACAATTTTAATAAATTGCAAACAAGAATAGGAAACAAAACCAATAAACACAAATAAAGTTATTTGTATATATGACTAACATTAGATAATTCATGGTTTTTACTTTATGTGATTCAATATAGCATCTAATTGTTGCTTCTATTTTTTATCTTAGAGAAGAAAAATCCTTAAAAGATTTTGATATAATTTTAAAGTGTCTCTAGCTCTTTAAAGTAATCACAAGTATTTCAATTTTACTAAATTTACTAAATTTTTAGTAATTTTACCAAATTACTACAAAGAGGATATTGGAAGAAAAAAAAAAAAAAAAATCTTTCTATAGTAGTACATATAATTTTTGGTAAGTACTTTATTTTCTCTTGTTGAAACAATTAACTTTGTTGCATGCTATTTTTCTTACTAACAATTGCTAACCATTATTTAAGGTGGATTTGATTCTTCTATTGACTGTATCTTCACTTCTTCTTTTCTTATTATTTATAAATTTATTTAATTAAATAAGAGAAGTATTTATATGGTTGTGTATCCTTTATATAAATATTAGTAAATATTTTACTTGTTGGTTTTTCATCTAAATATTTGGAATTTTTAGTTTTTGTTCTATTCTATTATCTTTGACAGTTTTCTAAATTCATGACTTTGTGCTTTTATCTTCAAATCGAGTAGTTTTTGGTATTTTAGATAATATTTTTTCTAAATTTTATTTTACAATTTTTTCCTAAATTTAAACATCTGGTATATTGGCATGAGATTGGAAGTTTTAAGATATCATCATTTTTTTTGAACTTGTGTTCACCATAGAGGAATCACAAATAATTATCAATTCTACAAAAAACCTTTGTCTATATATATATATATAGAGAGAGACACAAAGCATTGAAAATACAAAATAACCACCCACATGAAAACAAACCATCCATAATGCAAACATCAAACATATATTGTATTTAAAACCAACTTTATATTGCAAAAGATGTTTCAATACAATGATTGCTATTAAATTCTATTGGTCAATATATGTCCCATAACTACCACACATAATTCACACTTATTTGCATGGCAAATAGTTAAAGGTCTGCACGAATTTAATTGTTTTAACATTTACTGTTGACAATGGTAGATTAATGTACCACTCCAAATATCACGTACCCCATTCTCTCTCACTCTCACACACACACACAAACACACTTGCCCAGAACCTTCTCAACGCTTTTTGGGGCTTTAAAGAATAAAAATTATATATTAAAATTCATTCCAAGTCCAATTCGCAATGGCATTTTTCACCTATTAATTTAGTTTTGAAATGAGCATAAGATGGATTTTATCATCCATCTTAAAATATTAATATTAATACCCCCCCCCCACCCACTTTAATTAATGGGTAATAGACTCCCAAGCAATGGGGTGTTCATAAACTCCCAAGAGCTCCTCAATGAACGCATCTTATTCCCGCTGGAAGTACTCAGCTACTGGCACGTGAGGTATGTTAGCACGGGGATGGGAGCTGTACCACCTTCACCCGTGGTAGTCAGTTGTAAGTTTTGTGAGGAAGTGACTGGTAAGTCATCAACAGTGAGTTCCGGTGAGTTTGTAAAAGGGGGCGCATTGCCAACGGCCGGCGGCACTCGCGGTGCGCTTCAAAATTGCGATTGCCCGGGCCGAATTCTGTGAGAGAAGGCGAGGCAGAGAATACAAGTTGTGTTTGGTATGATTGTGTGGAGCTATTAGCAATTGGGTAGTGAGGGTTTGAGAGTTTCGAAGGGCGATGGCTACGCAAACTAGCGGAGGAGGAGGAGGAGGAGGCTTGGCGTCGGAGACGAAGAAGGACGTGGTGGAATTGTGCTACTCGGGGGAAGAATCGCTGAGCAAGGCCGTCGAGCTGCTGAAGGATTTCGGTCTGCCTGATGGGTTGTTGCCGATGCAGGACGTGGTGGAGTGTGGGTACAACAAGGAGACCGGGTTCGTGTGGGTGACGCAGAAGAAGCCCATCGTGCACACTTTCAAGCAAATCTCGAAGCAGGTGAGTTACAGCGATAAGATCACCGCGTACTTGGAGAAGGGCAGGCTGCGGAAGCTCACGGGCGTGAAGGCGAAGGAGTTCCTGTGGGTGTCAATCGTGGACATTGCCATCGACAAGAACGACAAGGAGAAAATATACTTCACGAGCTTCTCCGGTCTCGGGAGGTCTTTCCCTGTCAAAGCTTTTGTTCGAGGGGCTTGAAGCGGCCTCGTGTTCTTCGTCGTTGTGTAGGTTTTTTTTTTTTCTTTCGGTTATTAGGATGATGACCCAATTCGTGTCTCTTTCAATGGGGGCCAATCAATCTCCCCATGTCCATATCAACTTGGCAGGTTTTTAAGATTCTCCGAGGAGATCACCACTTCTGCCGCCACCGACGTTGTAGAGCTACTGGACATAGCCATTAATCTCATGCTTGTGCTTATTTCTTTTTTTCTTTGTTGTATACTGTCTCACAGCCGCGCTTGTTTTTAGCACAAGTTTAGTCTGCTAGAGCAGTACACGCCATAGCCTCAGTTCGAGAAGACGTGAACCTTGACAAACATTTTTGTTATTTGTAATTTATGCAAAGCAAAACTGCTTGGCAGTTTTTGTATTCTTCCTCAAACATTGTTATTCGTTAAGTGGTTTTTCACTACAACTTGGATACTGTCATTCACGTCTATGCCAAGACGGAGAGATTAGTGTCACGGTCGTAGTTGCGTTATCGTGTGCATTTATGAAAAACTACCACCTTATGACGATTTTTTTTCCTCTGCAACTATTCCTGTATTGTTAAAAATTATTGTCAACCTTCATACTAGAACATTCTCATGCCCTGTTGATAATCATGACACGGATTCCCTGAGTTCAACAGCTTCACTAATACCATAAAACCTGCACTGATGTGGTGAGATATGTCAACCTTGACAGTATCCTCATTCCACACTGCAGCGGCTTGATCTGCCACAACATTTTGATACCTCGTCAATAATCTGTATAGATGCAGATCGAATTCATGAGCCTGATCGACGTGGATAGTGCACGTAGTCTACTATAGATTGAAACAGGTAACCGACCAACCAGATGACTTAATTGTATCTATCCATCCTTGTCTGAATTGTGATGGATACGAACTTGACTTCTCGAGTTGGAGTGCAGACAAGGCGATGGTGCACTTTCAACACTGCACCGCCCACATCATCTTTGCCAAGTGTCAGAACATTGAAGAAGTCGGTGCGTACTACAGCTCAGTCCTCAACCTTGTTAAAAGTTTTTAGACGACAACTGTCTTCTTCAAATAGTTCTACTGCTTTCTGTACGAGGAAATCGCCCACAGCAACGCGCTTTTCCTCTCTTTCTTTATCAATCCTGTTTGCTGGAGTGGTATCTGATTCTGTGATCAAGTCTTAAAACAGATGGCCAGTGTAGATTCTTCCACTAGAGTTTCAACACGGTCTTTGAATCAAGACTCCTGCATATACAGAAAGGGCTTGAACCTAAAAACAAGGCAAGGTAATCTCAACAGAAATAGGCTTTCCGCAACTATTGTCAGTGACCTCAGTAGTGGGAGTAATCTTCAATCAATGAAGGCAACAAATTCACACAAATCTTCGTATATATCAAGCATGTGAGCATCCACACTGTCGGTGTCAGAGGTCAAACTGTATCTTTATGTATCTGGACAGGAACAATGATTCAGAAATGATATGTATGGTGGTGAGGATGTTGAAACACAAAATGTCTACTTATTTAACAACCGCAAAGTATGTATACATCTCATACGTTACAGTCAGAATTATCAATGTAAATGTGTCGTTGAAAAGCAGAATTTACTGAACTCGCACAACTTGGTTACTCTTTCCCAGCAGCCACATACATTAACCCAACCCTCCAGAAGTGCACATTGTGTTATTTTAATAGATCGCTAATTCGCAATTAGTAAGAGATGTAAATTGCACGATCTGAAGGAATCCTACTCACAACTGTCCAACTCCAAGGATCTCTTTGATCTCTAAACTTTGAAACCTCAAGCCATCCCACAAGCAACCAGCGTTTGCTAGCAGACGCTAAAATGCTGCACACAATACAAATTGTAGCCATTGCCTACTGCAAGCCACCGTCGGGGACCAACTCCCACAGTATTCACAAAAGCAACCGAACAACTGCTACAACAGTTCTCCAAGTGATAGACTGTCTGCCACTAAGACAAACGTCGTGACTGAAGACGATACAGATGTACAGATTGTTGGTTCCCCCTCTCCTTGTGGAAACTTCTCTGCTTCACTTAATAGTAAACAGTAGCAAGCCTTTTGGCTTAAATTACCAATCCAGCGTAGTGTTCTGAATGTAACGTTTCTTATTTCGATTGTTGACCTTTTAGCTCTATCGGAAGTGTCTAACACCTGCTATTCTAGCTCTAAGCATACAGTTGAGAATTTTGAACGCCAACACCCCCTCTCCGGAGAGTTTAGACACTTTGTGCTTCTGAGCTTTAAGTAGAGACGAGAGATATCTCATTCCGAAAGCATCTCGGAAATGAAAAAACTTCTTGCGTCCAATAGATTTAGTGAATAGATCAGCTAATTGATGCTCGGTGCCAACATGATGTACTGTGATCTCTTTTTCTTTAATGAGTTCACAAACAAAGTGATGTTTGGCTTTTATGTGTTTGATTGAGTGTAATAGGCATGATTGTGAGCAAATTTCTATGCGTCTTGATTGTCACTATTTAGATGAAGATCTGCCAGAGTAGGAATGTGTGCACTTTGAAAATCTGTCTGAATGTTTGAATCTTTGTGATGTACAAAAACTATGGTTTAAGTAAAACTTAAAGTTCATTGAGTAATCTCTTTGTGGAGACTCCTTGTTTGATTTCTTTGGACAAAGCCTTGTATTTGGCCTCTGTAGAGCTCTCAGATACAATTGCTTGACATTTGCCAGATAGCTATATGAAAACACTAGCTACTTGAAATAAATAAGAGCCAATAAAGTGACATAAATCTAAATATTTGAAAAAGTTGAAATCAATATATCTAATAAGTGATTAATTTCCAATTTGCTTGTCGGAGATTCCTAGGTCAATGGTATTCTTGAGATATTGAAGAATGTGTTGAATGGACTTCTAATGTTATTCCTATAATTTATTCCTATATCTATTGACAATTCCAATTGCATATGAGATGTCAAGTCTAATGTAAGTGAGGAAGGTCATTTTATCTATTGTATGATAGTATAGATTGCCATCTAATGTAAGTGAAGAAGGTTAATTTATCTATTGTATGATAGTATAGAGTGTCATCTAATGTAAGTGACGAAGGTCAATTTATCTATTGTATGATAGTATAGATTGCCATCTAATGTAAGTGAAGAAGGTCAATTTATCTATTGTATGATAGTATAGATTGCCATCTAATGTAAGTGAAGAAGGTCAATTTATCTATTGTATGATAGTATAGATTGCCATCTAATGTAAGTGAAGAAGGTCAATTTATCTATTGTATGATAGTATAGAGTGCCATCTAATGTAAGTGAGGAAGATCAATTTATCTATTGTATGATAGTATAGATTGCCATCTAATGTAAGTGAGGAAGGTCAATTTATCTATTGTATGATAGTATAGAGTGCCATCTAATGTAAGTGAGGAAGGTCAATTTATCTATTGTATGGCAATATAGAGTGCCATTTGCTTGTGAAATGTTTATTTTTTCTTTAAATACATGTCATTTGAAGAATGGTATATATATATATATATATATATATATATGAATCTCCTATTTCTCTTTCTTGTATAATTTTGATATAAAATATTATTTGATGCAAAAATAAACCAACAAAAACTTAAAAAAATTAAATTCTTACATAACATTCAGCTTCTCTTAAATCCTTCATCTAATATATAGACATTACTCCATCTTTTACAATTTATAGTTCATTTAAATTATTTTTTTGTTACTAATAATTCATCAGCATATAATATTATGTTAATATTTTTACAAAATTTCTATTTAAAATAGAGATTGTAATCAACAAGGCTGCAAGATTAATCAAAGTTCTACAAATATTTGTCAATTTCTTCATATTAAGCCCTTGGAGATTGTTTTAGATCATAGATTGATCTTTATAGTTGACACAACAATTCTTCTTTGCTAACAATTTCAAATCTTTAGAACTATTGCATAAATACTAGTTAATTTAGAATTCTATTCAAAAGTACTAAGATGACATCTAAATGAAATAAGTCCCAATATAGAATTACTTCAATTGCAATGATTATTCATAAGGTGCTTCATTTGACTAAATAGACAAAAGTCTTATCATGATCTAAATCTTTCTTCTACTCAAAATTTTCATGCTACTAGCTTTAATTTCAAGCATAACCTTGTAGAATTCATGATTGGCTTGGTTTTATAAATCTACTTAGCTAATAGTGCTTTTTATCTTAGATGTAGAGATGTAATAATCCATGTAAGATTCTTTTTTTAGAAAATCTATCTCTTCCTATATTTAAACTCTTTAGTTAGCATTTGCAAAGACTTTGTTAAATGTTAAGTTGTTTTCTTGAGATATTATCTTTAGAGATGTAATTTCTATTTGTAATATAGAGATGATAATCTTTGAATTAGATAAAAGTCCAATGCATTTTGATGCTTTGTGAATTGGATCCAATATAATAGATTGATTTATTGGAATAATATTAAGAAGACTAATTCAACTATCTCTTTCTTGTTCTTTGTAAAATAACTCATATTTATATAATGCTTTTGTAGTATGTGGATTTGGCACACAAGCAAGTTCTTCATCTCATTTCAATAAAACAAACATGCTTGAAGAAGAGAAAATGAGCTACTCAAAAATATCAAGTGCCAAAGTAGTGGTTGAATGAAATATGCATATAAAATCTTTAAAGAAGGCTACATCATAATTAAAAACAATTCAATAGTAAACTGGATCATAACACCAATTATCTTTGGTTTGGACATCACAATCAACCAAAAAAATGTAAAAAGCTTTAGAGTCCAATTTAATTTGAAGAAAAGAATATAAAAGAACATACTCTATGCATCTAAGTACCTTGAGATGAAATAGAGTAGATTTGATTTTGAAAAGTAGTTCAAAAAATATAGCTAGTTTAAAAAAGCAAGTAGAGTAGTGGTTAGGTATATATTTTATAATAAAAATAGATTTTATCCATAAGTAAAGAAGAAAAAAAAATATAAAAAATAATTATGAGAAACTTTAAATAAAATCTAATTCTTTCTTTTAAAAATATTTTTTTATTAGAGAAAGCAAGCGGATGTGAATTGGCAACATGCACTTCTATTAAAACAAAATATATTGAATGCAATAGAAATAACCTCATTGCTTTGATTAGTTTGTAATTAATTAACTTTTAGACTAAATTAATATTCTATGAACTATATGAATTTTTGTATAATTAAAAAACTTTTGTCTTTAGTGGTAAGGAAGAAAAACCAAGTATAAAAAGAAGAATCATTACTAATTGTTAGAAGATATTTAGCTCCTATATTTAAATAATTTTCCTAAAAAGATTTGAATGCAAGAATTCCAAAGGTTAAAAAAATTAAAGTAATTGTCTTTAGAATTCTCTCTCAATGGTGTTTGGA